AACAATGAAGGGGAAGATCAAGAGAACAAGAGAACATGAAGATTGTTTGGATATTTTTTTTTTATGTATTTTGAGACCTAAAAGTAATAAATAGTGACCAGTTTAATTAAACCTTCAATTAGGGTTCTACAACATCAGAAGTGGGATATAGCCTTGATAGCCTTTTAGATAAGTTGCGTTTAGTCAAATCCGCATTTTGATCATGTCCAGCAGAGATGGTGATCATCACTATCAGCCATCCTTGAACGGAGAAAGAGAAAACCAAATGGAATCTGAAAACGAAAACAACCACCAGGATACCGATCGTGATAATGAGAGTACTGACAGTTTAAGGAATGAGAGATTCCTCAGAAGAGATGTTAACTTCGATCTACAACGAATGTTTGATACTTTTTTATTGGAAACCAGGCGCAGAGATGAATTTCTTGAAAGAGTTGTTGAACGACTTACCCCATCCCAATTGAGTAATGTTCCTGCTAATGCCAATGCCAGTCCACCAATTGTGTCAAATAATGTTGCAATAATCCCAGAAGTACTAAGGAATATCGGAAATTTTAATGGAGACTGTTCCGCAGCTAAACAATGGTTGCAAAAATTAGATAGTGTGCAAATATTGCATGGTTTACCAGATAATTATATGCTGGAAACAGCAAGAACAAGACTTATTGAAGGAGCTTATCACTGGTATATGACCAAGAAGGACAATATCAAAACTTGGCAAGAGTTTGTTGATTGTTTCAAGTCAACTTTTGTTATCCAAGAAGGAACATCACAGAAGTATAAGAGAATGATAAATAGAGTGCAAAAGCGAGGTGAAAGCATTGACTGTTACTTCCATGAGAAAGTTAGACTGTGCTTAGAACTTAATTTGGATTTCCAGGAAGTGAAACATGAAGTGTTAGTTGGACTATTCTCAAAATCATTATGTGATTCAATGTTATCAAAATACCATTTTGATACTAATTGTTTACTTCATGACATGCATGAATTCATGAATATAGAAGCCAAAAGAAATGAAAGGTTTACTACTGGACAGACAAGTGGACAGAATAGAGAAAGCACTAGAAATAACATGAGGCAAAATGACAGACAATCACCAAATACACATTCAAATCAACCTACTGAAAATCCAAGGAATGTAAGGACTACTTACTTGCCACCAAGAGATGAACATGATCGTCCACTTTGTTTCAAGTGTAAGCGCTATGGACATACCACAAAATATTGTAGATTTGGAAATAATGTACCAAATAGCAGTTCTTCTAACAATACAGGTGCTCCTAGGGCTTCAACAAGTGAAACTCGTTTTAATGCAAATACACACAGTTCCTCTGTAATGAATATAAATACTGAGTTTAATAAGTATCATAAAGAAATCTGGCTCAATAGTGTCTGTTTATCTGCATTGATTGATACAGGAAGTAAGAAAACTTTGATAAAATCTAGCCTTGTGGATGATTCAAGTGATGACTCTTCTTTTAAAGTTGACAGTGAAAACATAGTTTTAGTGGGACTGAATAATTCTAGAGTATTATGCAATAAAGTAGTCAACATGGACATAAAAATAGATGGAAACTGTTTCAAAACGACTGCAGTTATTGTTCCTGATGATGTTATTAGGAATGATATGATTTTGGGACAAGACTTTTTAGACAATGTTACATGGACAGTAAAAAAAGATTGCATAATATTTGAAGCAATTGAATATTATGAGGACTCTTGTGAAAATGATATTTTTAACATTGATATGGAAGTGTTCGAATGTGAGAAAAGGGTAAACATAAACTCTGATATTGACTTAGTCTACCAAATGCAAGTGAAACAAATCATCTTGAACTGTGTAAAACATGTTGAAATTGTTGCTGAGAAAAAACATCCTAAATCATGTGTACAGATGAAAATTTTGTTAAAAGACAATGAACCAGTGAGATCTAAACCTAGAAGATTATCTTTTACAGAAAGAAAGACTGTGGATGATATTATTGATGACCTGCTGAGAAAAAATATCATCAGACCAAGTATCTCAGAATACGCCAGCCCCATAGTATTGGTTCCCAAAAAAAATAAGGAAACACGTATGTGCATTGATTATCAAGCTCTGAATCAGAAAACTTTAAAAGAAAATTTTCCCCTACCTGTTATAGATGATTTAATCAATAATTTGAGTACAGCAAAATTTTTCAGTGCTTTGGATTTAAAAAATGGATATTTTCATATTGATATGGATCCAGAATCTGTCAGATATACAGCATTTGTGGTTCCTAATGGACATTTTGAGTTTCTAAAAATGCCATTTGGCCTAACAAATAGTCCATCAGTTTTCCAAAGATATATAAACTATATTTTTGAAGATATGATTCGAAATAATAAGATACAAATTTACATGGATGATATTTTAATAGCAACAGAGACAATTGAAGAGAATATACTGATTTTAGAAGAAGTTTCTCAGCGAATTATGACACATAACCTTAGTATTCGATTAGACAAATGTTCTTTTCTGAAAACTACTATTGATTATCTTGGTTATAGGATAACTAATGGTAATATTTGTATAAGCCAAAACAAAACTGAAGCAATACAAAAGTATCCAGTTCCAACTAATCAAAAGATGGTAAAATCATTTCTAGGCCTGACCAGCTATTTTAGACGTTTTATTGGAAATTTTGCATTTATCGCAAGACCACTCACAGATTTACTAAGTTCTAATAAAACATTCATTTTTGGTGAGAAAGAAATGACTGCCTTTGAAACATTGAAATTTGCATTGACAAATAATCCTGTCTTAAGAATTTATAATCCTGATCTCGAAACTCAAGTTCACACTGATGCAAGTTCAATTGGTTATGGAGCAATCCTAATGCAGAAGTTTGAGGACAATAAATTTCATCCAGTCTACTATTATAGTGCTAAAACTACAGAGCATGAGTCGAAGTACCATAGTTTCGATTTAGAAATGCTAGCTATAATTAAAGCTTTAGAAAAGTTTAGAGTATATCTCTTAGGAAAGCATTTTACTTTGGTGACAGATTGTAATGCTTTAAAAATGTCATTGAATAAAAAGGAAAAGAATAGTCGTATATTTAGATGGAGTCAGAGATTGGAAGAATTTGATTATTCTATTGAACATCGACCTGGTACAAGAATGCAACATGTGGATGCTTTAAGCAGGTGTTATCCTATAGAAATTGATATGGAAGATTGGTTAGTAGTTGCTCAATCAAAAGACAAAGAGTTACAAGAAATAAAAGAACAGTTGGATAGAAATCAAGTCAGAGACACTTATAATTTGGTAAATGGAAAAGTTTTCAAAATGATTGATGGTTCAAACTTGTTTGTTGTACCAAGAGGAATGAGGAAGGAATTAGTGATGAAAGTTCATGAGGATATATCACATCTTGGATTAGACAAGACATTAAAAGAAATTAAGAAAAACTATTATTTCAAGAATATGAGGAAGTTTGTGAAAAAGTGTCTGGATAATTGTATGAAGTGTTTACAGTACAATTATAAAAATGTAACAAATGAAGGATATTTACATTCCATAGAAAAAGGTGATCGACCATTTGATACCATACACCTGGACCACTTGAAAATTCCAGAAAAGACTAAGCATGGTTATAAATATATTCTGTGTATAGTGGATGCATTCTCGAAATTTTCATTCCTAGAACCAACTAAGACAACAAATACTGAAGAAGTGGTCAAGATAATGAAAAATCTTATCAAAATTTTTGGGACGCCTAAGAGAATAATAACTGATCGGGGTAGTGCATTCACCAGTCAAGTATTCACCAACTATTGTGAAGAAAACAATATACATTTGGTAAATGTTGCTGTGCAAACACCAAGAGCTAATGGGCAAGTAGAGCGGTTGAATAAAGTAATAATGCCAGCTATATTAAAAGAATGTGAAGAGCCAGAAAGATGGACAGAAGTTTTAACCAAAGTTCAATTATCCCTGAATTCAACTGTACAGCGGAGTATTGGGAAAACTCCGGCAGAAGTATTTTTTGGATACAAAATAACTTTGAATAGGGATTCAACTTTAGAGGATCATATTCGAGAAGAAACAAACGTGAATAAATTTGTAACGGAAAGAGAAGTAACACGAAAGGAAGCAAAGGATAAAATTAAGAAGACACAAGACGAAAATGAAAGGAACTACAATAAGAAAAGAAGGCCACATAAGACTTTCAAAGAAGGAGACTTTGTAATGGTCAAACGTACTGGTCCAGAATGTGATATAAGTCCAAAGATGTCATCAAAGTTTGTGGGGCCTTATCAGATTACAAAAGTCTTGGACAAAGATAGATACTGTGTAGCAGATATTCCTGAATTCCGAATATCTCAGAAGCCCTACAACGCCGTGTTAGCCCCAGACAGAATAAAAGTTTGGAAGGATATTCAGAGTGAAGATGAAGCAGATGAGGAAGATGAAAGTGAGGAAGAAAGTGAAGATGAAGAAATAATTAGAATAATAGTGGAAGAGCCTGCCAGTGATGTTGGGTCAACATCAACTCAGGATGGCCGAACTGTAGGTGTCCGTACCTAAACAAAAAAAGAAAAAAGAAGAAGAAGAGGATTAGGAGAGGGAAGGGGGAACAATGAAGGGGAAGATCAAGAGAACAAGAGAACATGAAGATTGTTTGGATATTTTTTTTTTATGTATTTTGAGACCTAAAAGTAATAAATAGTGACCAGTTTAATTAAACCTTCAATTAGGGTTCTACACCTCCATTTTTCACATTCATAATTTGTAAACAAATAATCAAGTTTACCTTCAACCACCTATACCAGGTAGTGAAGGTAGTGTACAAAAACGAAAACTACGTCACGGTTAAACATAACCACAGTTTAAGGAATATACCCATTCCTTAAACTGTGACATAACGAAATGGGATTATTAGCTTTAACCACAGCTCTAACCATGACGGGTAATGTGAATCAAATATCCCTAATACGCACTCACCGCTTCGCGGCTGCGTGCGTATTGCGTAAGCGTAACCTTTCCATTCGTGCGTAGGATGCTTCATTCTTCTTCTTCTTACAACATATATTACATTAGCAAATATTAGTATGTGATAAAGTGATAAGCCGATAAGGGCGATAAGCATCAAGCATCTCATCTCACATGTTTGTGATGTGAGATTATGCAGGATCGTTGAGTTGAATAAAGGTGGATAGATATGCAATGCAGTTTTTTCACAACCATACAATGACTAAGCGATAGTGATGGGTTGGATGATGGTGGGGAATTACAATTAGGAACAATCCATGAGTAATACGATAGTAAACTCAGTTAAACGTGACTTCTAATTTCGTAGCCGTCTCTCGAACACCGAACGATTCTTCAAACAAGACGTGATTATTATTCTCCATTATTGGGAGTGAATTCGAACCACAATTATAATATATAAATAACTAGGTATCTGTGTAGTGATTCAATCCAAGTTTTATAATGGCAAATTACAGTTTGGAGAATATGGATAAATTCATTATCAATACAGGCAATATTTTGTCCATAAAGGACATCACCAAAAAGCCCAATCAAAATTTATCTGAAGAGGTTTGTATTTCGAAAATTATATTGTTTTCTCCATATTGAGTGTCTTTCGTGGATATGGTAAATATATTCTTTGACAAGGATTCCTTTCAATGCTTCTGGCTTGAAGGGCATGGGGTGATCACCTTCTCTAACCCCCCCTTTGTATCCGCCCTTGGTATTTTATTATTACACACAGGATGTCATATTTGGAAAAATCCAATATTTCATCATTAAATAGACTTGGCCGTTACTTGATGGAAATCTATAGCAAATGTAAAAACATCAAAAATATTTTTCATTGTACCTATACCAGTAGGTATTTCACCTGATGAAGCTATACTGTGTTAGCAAAACTTGTCATGTGTTTAAGAATTTTGTGGGAATCCCATCACTTGTGAAGTTTTCACATTCCATCTTTGGCATCCCTTCATTATTTTGTGAATTATCAAAAATTGTATACCTATTCTCACATAATTACTAGCTAGGGTATCATATGATGCATTATGCACAATCAAACCATCATAATTAATTTCAAATAGTAAGTAGGTATCAATTTACATGTTACAAACTTTTTTGAGGATATTATCCTATCATTATTCATATTGATTTTGATAATTTATATGTTACCAAGTGTTTTGCTGGATCTTCTGTTAGCTAGGTCACTTAACTTACTTGATAAGCATATCTATGTCCGGTAGGTCCTTGTATAAGGAGAAATATGAAGAAGACCTGTATTTATCCTATAGGCTATACCAGATTAAAACCTTTTTTCCAATTCAACATTTTTGATTGCCCATGCTATTTCCAACTCATTTGACCAATCACAAGTAAAAGACAACTTGTATTATCAGGAAAACACTGTCTTTCAATTCTGATTGGTCTTATCGGCAGTGGAGTTTTCAACAATGTAACTAAGGTAGGTATATACCTTAGATGTAAACATCGATAGTGAAACAAATTCTGTCAGTTTGACATAAAAATAATTATAGCTAATACCCCTCGGCTGAAGCCTTGTGATATAATCTTGGTCCCTGGGTAATACTGATATTCTTTACTACCTTTTGGTGAATAAATAACTATTTTATTACCTTTGAAATTGTTGGGATGTATGTTTTTAAAATGCGATTTTCTCTAGAACGGTACAAGAAATGATTGAAATAAATAATACTATTTTTTTTAAAAAGATGAAGAAATCAAACGGTGGAAGCAAAATGTCAAATTTGTCAAAAATGTCTCCATTGAACGAAAAAAAAAAAATGTTTCCCCTCCTGTATAAAACATAATCACTGAACAGCTGTTTACATTTTGAAAGGAGTATTAGTATGATTAATTTATTTGCCCCAATATCATTGGTATCGTGGCAAGCGTTTAAAAGTTATACATGAAATTTTCTTTTCAAACTTTCAAGGTCAATAACTCCGTAACGAAGTGCGGTAGCAATTTTTTTTTATATGAAGTACTATTACGACATGACCTGTCCGGACACCCTGTTTAATAAAAAATTACTACTAGTACTAGAATTCTCAATTATTTCATAACTCTTCTGCACCTTTTTATTATAAATCATTTTTCAGTTGGCTGATGCCATCAATTTTACTTTCAAAGAATTCCAATCTAATGGCACTTCACAACCTCAGTCTGACCAGTTATTGGTAGTGAATAGACACAATGACAACTTGAAGATAGATGAACATGATCTTGCAGACTTGAAAATTGGATTTAAAATTTTCTTGAACAAGGATAACCAAGCCTCTTTAGCTGAAGCTGTTCAACAAGGTAACAATATTCTATCTACCCAATGTATGTTTGAATGTATGGGAAAATATTGCTCTAATATTATAATTTGATTATAATAATTTTGAGGCCAAGTAAATATTTAAATTTTTCTACCAACTGCCAATCAGAATAATCAGATTCATGGGAAAGTTCCTTGTATGGCTGTGCCATTTCCATTTAAATAAAATATTAAAATCAATACTGTACTTTATTGAACTTAAATACCTGAAGGGTTATTGACTCAGGTCACAGTTTAATCCTCTTAAGAATCTAAGATCTTTAGTACTCAACTGTGCCACAGTATATCATCCTTTTACAAGACTGTGCTGAGGTCATAAATCAAATTTTAAATATTTTCGTCTTTTTATGTTTCCCGAAGCTCTTGTCAAAAATATCCAGTTAAACTAATGAAAACAGATAGGTACTAATGTACATTGTACATACATACATACATACCCATACAGTACTGTCATAAAATACATACTGAATAAACTCATTTCTAGCCCAACTATCCTTTTCTGAGGAATCTCCTAAAACAGGTCGATTTTCAATCTCGGTTTGCCACATTTATAGGAGACAATCAAATATACAGGGTGATCCACGTTTGAGTAATGACGTCCGCGACAATTCTTTCAAATTCATTAAAACGTTACTTCTTTGAACAACAATGTCAAATTGAGCTCTTTTCTACCTTGAACGGGAGAGTCTCCTCTTCCATCTTTCTCTTCAATGCTACCAACGTGGCCGCATTGAAAGGTCCGATAAATCTTTCTCTGTCTAACATCTACTTTGTGCCACTGAACTATTTTTGAATTCAGCAGAGTGTCAAATTATTATATTAACAAATGATGTCAAAATCAGTATGATATAATTTGAAATTTCATCATCAGTCAATGAAGTCCTCCTGCCATAAATTTTTTCCATTTGAGAAAATTGTCAACAAGGTCATGTGATAACTCAAATGTGGATCATCCTATATATCTTCCCTTAAAAATGTGGCAAATTGAGATTAAAAATCGACTTGTTTCAGGAGATTCCTTAGAAATGGATAGTTTGGCTAAAACTGAATTTAGCCAGTATTTCACAATAGCACTGTATTAGTGTTATTTCAATATATTCCTAGTAAGGACAAATCAGATGACTTTGCCGAAAATATCACTGCATTTAAAATTTTACTATCTGAAACCTAAAAGAGAAATTCAATCGATAGTCGGTGACACCTTGTTTGTTCAGAAATTTTTTAGATAAAATACATTGTTTTGCTGAAGCCACAAGATTAAAATCAAAAATTAAATTCTTTAAATTCTATGGATTTTTTGGATTTTGTCTTCATTTCTATGAATGAAAATATGAGTATTATTTCAATATATGTATAGGCAAGGCAAATCAGATAATTTACTCCTGATTATCACACTTTTAGGAACCTAAAAGTGAAATTCGTAGTTAAAATCAATCAAAAGATTCTTGAAAGCAAATAATGGCTAAGTAGTCACTTCATAACTAATTTGAATAAATTAAAGTTCGATGATAATGAAGTACCTGCTTCTAAACTTGCCTATTTAAAATTCTCAAGAGTATGTAGAAGAACCTGACGTATTATTATATAAAAAAAAACATGAAGGTAGGTACTCTAGTATACTAACCATTTGTTTCATTTTTTGGTAGCTTTGTCAATGTTGAATGTAGATGGAATTAATGACGTGATCATAACTTTCAAACAGCAGCATTCCGAGGACAAAAAAGATAATTTGGAACAGATACAGAATGCATGGAGGATACTAGAAAGTTTAGTTGAAAGTGACAAAATTAAGGAAATAGGAATTGCCGATGTTGAGGAAAATACATTCAGAGCACTACATCAATGGGCGAACGTGAAACCCAATATTATACAAATAAATCTTGCCACTTGTTGCGTTGTACCGCCGTCCCTACAGGATTTCTGCAAGGATAATGATATAAAGCTACTTACACATAGTGATCCAAGTGGTCAGTATTGCCAGAGATTGTTGCTCTCTGTTATCTCTTGAGAATCTCGCTGTTATTTTTATTAATTGATATTCTTTATGTTGCAGATATATTACCAAAATCTTACATTGAAGAGATATTTGGGAAACCCCTAGTTCTCAAGTGGGCACTACGTTTTTTAATTCATGTCAAGTGTCGAGGAGTACTTACAACTAAGGGATATTTGTTGCATTTTTCAGAAGTATAGACAGTAATAAAACATTGGACTAATACATTTTTTTATTGAACATACTCTGTACCTTTTTTAATTCATCACATCGATTGTGTGAGAAAACCGTCATTATTCGTTCACAGTGGCGTAATTGAGATTTATCCCTGAGGGGGGGGGTGTCTAGGTCCAATATCCAATATTTAGGAAAAAAAATATAGTTGGTTTCAATAAATGTGTGCATAATTTGGTACCAATAACAAAATAAAGGAAATAGTATTGAAAAATAATGAAATAATATCACATATCAACAGGTACAAACATTGAAATAGGAACAAAAAAAAAACAAAATAACGAAAATTAAAAAATTCGACTAAATCAGCTACTGAAAAAAAAGACAAATTCAAACTGTTGCATTTTTTGTTGGAATCAAGCGACTAGTTTTGGGGAGATAGAGAGAAATGAGGAAAAACTATCCATTCAATGTACAGGGTGATTCGAAATTCGATGTGAATATCTTAAGTAGGTACGTATTGTTCTTCTTCATATAATGATGTGGCCTTACATGCACCCCCTTCGAGCTACAGTCACTGTAAGTTTGTTAAAAAACGAAAGATTATTTGAAATTGGGATCAAGTGCAAATATTGCAGTACCGCACGCCTCTGAAATAGCAGTCTCGAATGCTTTCCGACATGCGATTACCTCCATATGCAAGCGTTCCTGTTCCGATGATGGAAAAATGCAAGAATTTCTCAATTTTTTTATGGCCCACAGTGTCTAAAGAGACAAGGACATGCCAATTTTCAGAAGATGTGACCCGTTATTTTAGTCACAGTCAGATAATCCTTTTTTTACCGAACTTTACAGTGGCGTAGCTACGAAGGGGTGCATTTTAAGGCACATGTTTATAAGAATAAAAGTCTTATTTTGACCCAAACAATTATGTCCTTAAAATATTTACATCGAATTTTGAATCACCCTGTATATGGATGTCTCAATAAGAAACTAGAATATTGTACACATGGAGTCGTGAGGAATGACCACAAAATATATTGATGGTTTTTTTTCTCATTTTCTCCATCTCTTCAAACCTACATAGTTATCGTATGTTTCCAATGACAATAACTAACATCCGATATTCTTTCGGAGGTTCTAACAAATTACAAATCGAATTCTCGTGATATTTCCTATACTCATGTCTATTTTTCCATTAGAATTTTTACCAGATTGTTTCAGTTTTTCAGACAGCTGAATTGCGCCACTGTTCGTTCATTAGAAGCATATGTAATGAGTGCATCTTAGGAATCCTACCACCATAATAATTATTATGGAAGGTACTGGAGTGTATACAATATGAGACACACTGTATGCTAGCATCACAGAGTCATTACAATCATGTGCTTTTTTAAATCCGAAAGGCATTATATTTTCAAAGGGAATCTCTGGATTTTGCTTGATTTAGGTAAGGCAATCATTGCCAACTATGGAAATTATCAATTACATAGACTATCAAACAACCTTGTGAACAACAATTATTGCTATATTTATGCCATTAATACGTGACCTCAGATTAGTCCACTAAATCAGCAGAGTATACCATGATATGAAATTATTATATCTTGAGGTATCGATGTTTTCAGGTACACTATTGTTGTCCTGAATAAGGCATCAAATTTTATTGAAATTTAGCAAACAATTTCCAGAAAAAAGATCGCTCCAGTAAGCTCTTGCGATTAGTCACTCCCTCGATTCTCGATTTTTGCCATGACAATATAACTTTCATACAATTAAACATGTTTATCGATACAAAAAGATATTCCCGATAAAACCTTATTTATATTGCACTGTCAAATAGTTATTTATGCAACAAGTGCAAAAAGTGAATGTTTATTGCACTCGACGTAAAATTGTCCGACGAGGCCGTTAGGCCGAGTTGGACAACACGTCGAGTGCAATAAACAATTTTTGCACGAGTTGCATACAACATTTTTTCTACGTTCATGCAAAAAGCAAAAAATGATTTATTGAGGTGCGGCACTAGGTGTAGGAAAATGAAAAACGCAACTTAATTTTTGACTGACGTTTCTATAACCACAGTTGCAATATAAAAAATGTTTGTCATGATGACAGCACGTTGAAGTAGAATGACAGATGAGTGCAATAAAAACTTTATTGCACTAAGTGCAATAAAGAACTTCTTTTTCCACTAAATATAGTTCAATAAAGTTCTGCTTTTTGCATGAATGTAGAAAAACATATTTATTCTCTTGAACCAATGTACAACAGCCAAAGCGAATGCTCAGGGGCAGGTCTGACAATTTATTTTCACATCATCTAATTCTTCCTTTTATTGTTTTGTTTGTGAGATATATCGTGTCCTCAAACCTGATTGATAATTTTTATTTTCCACGAAAACTTGTTTACTTGGTAAATATATGAAAACAAAACGATTGATAAAATCACGAGTACGTAGGACGAGTGATTTTATCTTATTCCTTTGTTCCAATGATTTTGCCTCAAATAAAGAAATTTGAGGAATGAAAGTGAAATGAAAATTTGAAGATCTACTTATATTTTTAGAAAGATTTTTTTTCCAATATAAAAGAGAACATAATTTAGTTTCTTCACAAGCAAATTTTTGAGGTCTTCCTTTTATATGATCCATCAAATAGCGATGATTATTTCATCAATGCGATGATGTTGCATATATTTGCGGCGACTATAAGCGTGTTTCGCATACGTCGATTATACAACCTTCAAGTGTTTCTCTGAAAATGAAACGTGTTTGCTATTATCTGTACTATTATGATGAATGACAATGAAGAATGATACGTTTTGTTGTTGCAGAGAATCGGTGATTGATTGATACACACGTTACTCATAAGATAAAGGTTAAGAGAACCAAGATGTCATTCACAGGTATATCTAAGTATATATTAAGATGGCTACACTTGTAGCCATCTTAGTATATATATAATTAAAATTGACAGTTGAGTCAAATAGAATCATCGTCTCTGTTCACCGATCTAGTTATATTTTGATTTTGGTTGAGACAGCCAGGTATCTCGGTTGTTGTTGAAGGTAGAACCTTTCGGTTTTCGTGGTCCTGTGCCAATGCCACTTTTTTGTAAAACTCATGATGGCCCTGTCAGATTCTACCAAATTTATTTTGTTCATAAGTTACAAGGCGTTTCTGAAAATTCACACTCTGGACCCCCTCCATATCTACGAATTATCTTAGCGAAAATGTCAAATTGAAATCCTATTCCATAGATAATTTTACGCAGAATCCAGTGGCGCACTTATTATTTATTTCGGGGTATGGTTCTGGAGATACGACTCAAACTTATGATTTTTCAAATTTAACACCCTGTATTTTATTAGCCTATTAAATTCCTTGAATTTTTCCCTTCAAATGATATATAATGTATGAATATAAAATTCTCAAAAATACTTCAGAATCACTGAAATATTGTATTTCAATAGTGGGCTATGGATTTTTCACATAAATAAGTTCCAATTGAAGGAATATTACTTTTGATTTTTTCATGATAAGGACAAAAACAATCCAATGGTTCTGGTAATTTTCTTCATGTATCTGCACTATCAGCCTCGAATTGTGAGCAGGTTAAAATTGATTGGATTGAAACAAATGGACCCACTAGATAGATAGATAGATAGATAGATTTATTTCTCAATACAGTGAGTGCAAAAAAATACATTTTTTTACAAATCAATGCAAGTTCCTAAGAACATTTGAGATAACGAGAGAGAAAAATAAATAATGTATACAAATCGGAGTTGATATTTGGCAATACTTCACAAATTTAGTGCAAGTATAATCTTTCACAGAAATTATCATTTATATGTACAATGAATAGATGTTTCGGTATTTGCTTTTGTAAATTCAGTGAAATATTTAATGAAATAGTTATTAATAGAAATAAACATTAATATTGAGGTTGAAAATACTATTGACAATTGTTTGAAAAAAAATCTCCTAGGTTATAATAAATGTTTGACAGTAAATATTGTTTGAGTGATTTCTTAAAGCGATTCAGTGAGCAAATTTCTGTGAGTGAGTTCGGTAGGTGATTTAAAATTATGATACCCATATATAATGGTCCTTTTCTGTTAGCCTCATAGATGAACATTAGTTTCAAAATTAATCTGTTATTACGAGTATTATAGCTATGTATGGCTATATTCCGAATTCAACTGGTCAGTACTGTAAGTTGATCCACTGACTCTGCTGAAAATCTGTGTTCCGAAATATAAAATAAAAAATTCACTACTGTAATTCGGGACACGTTTTCATGGTTTTCATCAGTAGTAGTGTCTCGTTTATCTGAACTAGATGTTTTGCCTCCTACTTGTTATAAATTTTGGAAATTTAATATTCAACATGGAAGAGAAATCGATTCTTGTATCCTCTATAGTTTCTACGATTGTTGACGATGGCGATTCAAGCTCGAGTGATGAAGAATACTTGGACATTTTGTTGCCATAAATTTCTCATGATGTACCAGATTGAGAATTGAGATTCATGAAAATCGCAATATGCCTTAATAATGATGAATTTTAGGAGACATTCCAGGTTTATTTAGTTTATTTAGCCAATGCTGCTCCTTTCCTTACCTGCTCTACTACTTCATACTCCAGGTATTTTCTGATATTGAGAATCATTTCATTAATAACGGAAATGAATGTTACATTCCTTCCTCCTCTGAAATATGACAGTTCACTGAAGCCACACTACCTTTTGATACTCAGCAATTTCAGCAGAATGTTGAGTCGAAATATTTGGAATGAATAGTATATCTGCTGACAAGCATCTGTCACTTCCAGTGAATTTTTTGATTTCGGAATGGAAAATCAGCAGATTCAGTACTGCCAGTTGAATTCGGAATATAGCCTATATCTGATAGATTTTTGAAATTATGTTTTCTTTTAAATGCTTCGATTGTTACTCTGTAAATATAAAGGTTGGTGAGAGTGAATATCCTCAAGTTGACAAAGTGCCTGCGACATGAGTCTTGTCTATTTAAACCCAACATGGCCCGGACAGCTTTTTTTTGTAATATAAATGTGGAATTTGAGTTGACTGAGTTTCCCCAGAATTCAACTCCGTAGTTCAGAATACTATAAAAATATGCAAAATAAACTGTTTGGGCAGCAGCGGTGCCGATATTAATTCTAATTGTGGAAATTGCATAAACGGCGCTTGCCAGTTTATTGTTAATATAAGATATATGAGATTTCCAATCCAATTTATCATCGATGATAAAGCCCAAGAACTTTGTATGCGTCACGGGGATTATGTTACCATCAATAGTTGTAATTTGTAATGGTTCGTTGTGTTTATTCGGGAGTATGGTCATATTCAAAGTTTTTTCTAGGTTAATCATAAGCTTATTGGCTCTGAACCAGTCAACTATATTATTGGCCTATATATAACTATAGGTGGCCTCCACGGTCACATGATTTATCAGTGTTGGACTTTTTCTTGAGGGTTTTCGAATAATAAAATATACACTTAAGAGGCACAACAGTCTTGAGGAAGGCACTAGAGGCTGTCAATTGATAAGACCACCTAAAGTAAGATTACAAAAATCAAGTAGAACCTCTCTCAATGTAAATCTTTACAACTCACTACCCACTTACGTCAAAGCATCGAGTCTCAATAGTTTAAAAAAACACATGCATTCATATTTGACTCTCAATGTATTTTATACTACCTACTACTATAGCTGCCTTCACATCCATATTAAAAAATAACCATTATTTCTCATACATTATTTTTTATCTATTATTTTTTTTATACATAACTTTTATAGAGTTTTAATCATAGCCTATATATCATAGTTATCTTTGTTTGTTTGTTTGTATGTAGACTTTTTTTTAAGGTTTTTGATTTTTATTTAATCTGTAAATCTCTACTTTTAGCCACTTGGTTTTTATAATATTCCTAATCTATATGTATATGTGACGTATCTAATTCTTATGAAGGAAAAATTGAAGTATTACAGCCAGTACACCAAACATTTGTTATCTATAGGAAATGGTTGTGATGAAAGAAAAACTAATGTCACTAAACATCAACATCTATTAAACTTTCATTAGGCGTTGGGTAATAAATGTTAGAAGCAACATGCGTCTTGAAATACTCGGGCCCGTACTCTTCAAACATGTTTTTTGTCAACAAGCATTTCTTAAACTCTCCCGACCTGGCAAACTGCCTGGCGCCGTACCAGGCCGTCAAACTAGAGTCACTCATAATACTAACATTCACCTCGGATCGAAACGGCCTTATAGAAATGAGGTCGACCAACAACCGCTCCCTGAGCCCCTTCAAATTAGCCAAACCCCCCGTGACCACAACGTTCGCCGCCAATTTCAGCTGGTCTTCATCGCCGAACAACGACAAAACATAACCTATAACTTCGGACAGGCCAGCTTCTGGGGAGCCCGACATGTACGGCTTGAAGATCAACTCGGGTGCTCGATACCTCTCTATGCCGACGTGTAGTTGATGCAACTCTCCCAGATTGGCATGTTCGTCGAACTCCTGGGGATCGTGAGTACGCAAGATTTCCTCGAACTCCAAGAGCTTCTCATTTTCAACATCGCTATCGGAATCTCCACCTACGATCAATAATTGGTACACCATGAATCAATTAACTCTAAAAGCTGGCTATAGTAGAATTGAAATGGCGGTATGTAGGATTTCCAGTGCATTTTTTTATGTTCTGGTTCCCACAAAAAGGGATAACCTGTAATGTTCAAAAAACATCGTGAGAACCAAGAAAAATAAGGTAGGAATTGGTGTTCTTCTAAAATTTCTGGAGGTTATATGCCTCGGGTAATGTGTTCCAGAGCCTCGCTGTTCGTTGGATGAACGAGTCTTTGGAAAGAGATGTTCTGCAGGTCTCCAAAGTGACCACGAAGGGGTGCGGAGCCTCAACTCGACGGGTTAATGTCGCAGGGACTGCCAAGGGAGGAACAATTGTTGATATTTCAGAAGAGCATCGTCCATGAAAATATCTATAAAATAGAGCCAGATCGCCAACTTTTCTACAGTGTTCCAGAGAAGTGAATGAGTTTGTGAGCGAGGCATCACCCATGAGGCAAATTGCCCTTTTTTGGACAGAATCCAACAGTTTCAGGGTATGTTTGGGTGCTGCACTCCAAATGTGGGAAGAGTAATCCAGGACAGGTCGGATCTGTGCCTTATAAATCATAAGCAGCTGATGGAAGTGAAATAGCTCCTGTTCCAAAACAGAAAACCAAGTTTTTGGGATGCACTTTTAGCAATTGATGTCACGTGATTTTGCCAAGAAAGGTTATTGCTGATAGTGATATCAAGCATCGAAATGGATGTCTTCAAAGGTATGGTTACTCCTGACAAGCTCATGTTGGGCACAGTGAGATCGGCCTTTGTAGAGAAAAGGCATGCTTGTGTTTTGTTTGCATCAAAATCTACCAAGATATTGGATCCCGATTCGAGAATTGTTGCCAAGTCCATATTTATGTTGTCAACATTTCTCCCTCGTTCGTTCCTGATTTGCCTGGCTGGTATTGGAACCCTGGAAGAGAAGGCGGTATGGAGGGTACTATCATCCGCGAAGCTGTGTAATGGACATGAAGTTGCTTACAAAAAATCGTTGAAATGGAGTAGAAATAGTGTTTGTGCTAGGAATAGTGTTGGTGCTAGGTGCATTTGAACGGTATGTCCTCGAACCAGTCAAGCAGCTCAAAATTAAACTGATACACGCGATGGAGTTTTCTCATTTTCCGTTGTCACTCGAAATTGTATTTTCTTGGTTGCGTAACAGACAAAAATTATGACTCATTCTCCTATGTATATACTTTTTCGGACATTATATCGATTTGAAAAAAGTTGAATCGGAACCAAATCAGAACATCTCGGAGGTCAGAGCGTTCCATTTTTATTTCCATGATTTTTATGATCTATGGTTTGTAACATCATTGGATATTTATAGCGTCTTGGCTTGTCTATCAAGGGTGCGAGTGGGATAAAAATTATAAGTTTGAAACTGACAGGACACTGCACTGGAAACACTGCCAGATTCAAGTGCAATTTTTGCGTTTTTCGCTGTTGTGAATTGTAGGGATTTTTTTTCCAATGATCTGGTATAAAAGGTTACCATCACTGCAGTCAGTATGAAAATGTTGTGATGAGTTAGCATGCGAAAAATCAGTTGCTGCAATGAATGTAAGAAAAATCGGCCCAAAACTTGAGTCTTTTCTTCCTTTGTGAACATGAACATTTTGAAATACGCACGGAATTAGGTATATTATTCACAAACATGTAGCTTACAAATACCACAGATTCAAATGATCATCTTAAAAACCCAAGATTTCTGACATTTTGTATGATCACTTATAATTATTACACCAGAGCTTTCATTTTCATTGTCCAAGTAAACTTGACATTTTAATGGGATTGTTTTTTGCCTGGGAATCAAACTGAAAAAATTGCTAGGCAGTAATTTGAGTCAAATTTCCTAAAGGCAACAAAACTTGAATTATAAATTTCTAGTTTACTTGGACCCAAAATGAATGCCTGAGTATTTCTCAATTTCTCCACTGGATGTCTCCAAATCACAACACATCCACAGATTATATACATACAGCCATCAAGATTCCTTCACATTCTGGATGTCATGGTTAGGTTAGGAAAACCTATGGCAATTTTTTCACTGGCACAATGACAAAATCACAGTGGCTTATGGGATTTTTGATACATGAATTAAATTTTCTCCATAAACCAATTAGCACACAAATTTGACGGGGAGTTGTAAATATATTAATGTATTATAAAACTTGAAAATATTATGAAAATCTGTAAAAAGTGTTCTTGAGAAAGCAACATGCTTTTTCCAAAAAATCATTCACAGATTTGGTGAAATTCAAAATAAACTACATACTCCTGAAGTTTAGTGAAAATTGGCTACAAATTTCAAAGTAGGCTTTTTCCTGAATTGATTTTCAATGACAATTTGATGCCATGAGCATGGGAACTATGAAGGCTATTATGTGCATGGTCAATTGAATCAATAATCTCACCATCTTTGCTGATAGTCTTGTAAATATCCCAGTCTTCATCTCTCATTCCAAAATCATCATTTCCTTTCTCTTTTCTTGCTAATTGAGAAATAATTCTCATGCGTTCTTGACCAGCTGCTGTTCTTCTTTTGAAAATGTCTTGTTTCCTCTGCTTCCTCATGAGTTTTTTGTTTAGAATGTCTTGTTTCTACAATATTTTTTATGATACAAGTAAGAAATTAAATCTGGAAACTTAACTTACCATTTTTTTAATGTTGTCTAAAAATGAATGTAATGCACTTTCATTCTCAAACACCATTTTGGATAATTTAGCTTGCTTCACAGGGGGCTCTTCCAGATCTTCAGTATTATTGGCAGCAGTTATTTTCTGTTTAATTTTCTCAATTTTCATATTTAGATTCAGTATACTTTTTTGTAAATCATTCACATTCCTCAGTTGATACTCAGCTAGAATATTGTCTACTTCATCTTTATCTGCACCAAAATCAATAATCTCTTGAATTTCCAATAATTGTCTCAATTTTTCTTGATCTTCAGCTAACCTTTCTTCCCTTTTGCGAGCGTTGATTTCTGTTAATCTCCTGGCAAGCTCACGTTTTCTTTCCTTTTGTTGTTCTACTAAATGAGAACCAATTTATTCACTCATGCAAATTCTGCACTCAAATTATGAAATCTATATTTCACCAAAAATGTGTATTCCTGAATGAATATCAACATACATACATATTGATATTTCAGCAATATTGACCTAAAACTGATGATGGCAGTATGGGCAGTCCATATATTGATATAGGTAACTGATAGTTCATTTTTTCAGAGGATATGTAAATAATTCATATGAAACATTTCATTATTTTATTTATTTACTTGAATAAAACTTGCTCTTGGTCCAGTTTGATTCTCTGGATCCCTATAATGTCTAAACCATTCTAATAAATCAGTCTGACAAAGAATTCCTTTTGGTCAAGCAAAAATAATAAATAGAGCAGCAAAACCAACACCAAGGTATGTATTTATAATGTCTAAACCATTTTAATAAATCAGTCTGCCAAGAATTCCTATGGGTCACAATAATAAAAAATAGAGCAGCAAAACCAACACCAAGGTATGTACAGTACCTGCATATATGGTGATCATACACCTTCCTTTACAATTTCACATGATTTTCTTTTTTGAAACAAATACATGTGTTGAAGTTGGTTCTGCTACATTTCTCATAATTTTTTACCATTCAAAATTATAAACACCAAAGTACAAACTCAAACTGAAATTTACTTACATGTTAATGCAGAACTGGTACTTGCTGAACTGAAGGGTAACTGGATTTTCTTAATATGCTTTTCATAATATTCATTGTCAGTCCACCTCTTCATCTCTTCCTTATAATCTGAAGCTATGACACAAATTGTGTGCAGCAATTCTTCAGCTCTACTCAATGTAACAGCTGCTGCATGTGCAGGATATTTCAGCTGTAATATTCTATGTAGAAAAGTAATGACATTCCATCCCCCTATATTAAGTCTCCTGGTATTCTCAAAAACAGTCTTATTCCCAAGAACAGGAATGACATGGCATGTCTGGTAGCCCAGGTTTATAATCAGGGCATTTTCTAATGGCTTAGCTTGTGTATAATGATAGGATAATAGGGAATCAATTCCATACACTACTCCTGGTATTCCATAGCATTCAAATAACAGTTCAGACATTACTACAAAAATTAGCTGCATAGAGTATAAGTAATTAATGGTATTTAATGACATCTGCATCAATGTTATATCAAAATTTTGGTGAAACAACCATTTATTGGTTCATGGTTGCATAGTTTGTACTCATACAACTTGAAAAAAGTTCATGTTAATTGAAGCAGGTTTTGTTTATTGAAAAACTGACAATTTCTTCATTATATCTGAGGCAAGATCTGAGATGGATCTGAAAAATAACTCTCAGAGGACAATTATGATATTTGAAAATAATCAATATGCTTAGCCAAAACAGAAGGTAAATTCAATTCTGAAACATCCTGTAAAAAACTAAGAAAAGGAAAGTACCCTACTCACACTGTCTGGAAGTATTTGGATTCAAAAACGCTTCTGTTAGAAATAGTGGATGATTCACAGAATTTTCAGTATCTATTCCTAGATGTGTGAATGTGTAATCAAACAGATGTTCTTGAGCTTCAAAATGAGTAACTACATTACGATCAAATTGTGTTTTCAGTTGAAATCGTACTGCCTCAATATTCAGAATATCATTTCCAACTTGTAGTTGTGGAATCTGTATTGGCTCTATAGTGTCCTTCTTGGACCTCTCTTTTCGAGGCTTTGCTATTATATTTTTGAATTGTAAAACAGGTGCTTCACTAGTTGACCACCCTGCTCTGGACATATAAGAACCTAAAATAACAGAGGGAATTGATAATGTATATTATTCTGATAGAAATATTTACCATTATCAATTACAATGGGAACCGAATTATTTTTCAAATTCTGTGTATATGGATGGATAATATCAGGATTACATTTTGCATCCTTGAATTCAAAAACATCCATTTTCCCCAGATTCATCCCTCAACGGCCTTCTGAAAATCATGAGGAGATATTCATTTCTCTATGGGAGATATCCACCGTTCCACTACTTCCACTAAAGGCACTAAAACATGAATTAAATTTGATGTCATTCTAAATACATTGAAAACCAGCAGCTAACAAGCAGCTAAGGCGCTAAGGGTGTAAGGCCTGTAAAGGAAAAGGAGAGATGGTAAAGGAATTAGGGAAGAAGAAGAACAAAAGAGTGAATGTCAGCGTATGACAGTTATGTTCGAGTTTCTTCTTCTACGTTTCTTGATTAAGATAAGGTTAAGATTATTATAGGTCGCGTGCAGCGTGCAAGAACTGTCAGATGACCGACCCTGGAGGCAAAACATATTTGTTTACAAGCGATCGAAATAGTTTTCCACAATTATTTTGGCATATGAATCGTATTTTTCCGCTATTCATCAATTCGCTAATGCCATCACATTGTGCTGTTGTAAAATGCACAAAAACTGCAGCGGAAGATGAAGAAATCCGGATGGTACATTATGATTCAGAAGTAAGTACCTACTATAGTTACTCACATAGTTTTCATTTTTGAAATTTGGTTATTTTTCTGATTTCTCATCGGAATTCCTTCTGCAATAGGATCAGCTAATAGAAATATACCTGAAATTTCTAGAATAATGCAAGAAGATTGGATTCATGCAATCAATCGGTAGGACTGGTCTGACATGCTGACGATCGTGTGTGTTGTAGACATTTTCAATGTATTAGCAGCATTAGCTTGTATTGCAGAAGTGGCAGAAGGCAGAAGGAATTTTAATAAGGAATGAGAACATTTCATAATGATAACTATGTGAGATTACTATTTACCTGAAAAATCATATTCCCTAGTCTCTTGCTGCATTTTTTGTGCATTGTACAATAGCACAATGCGAAGGCATGCTTGAATTAATGAATAACGCAAGAAACACGATTCGTATGCCAAAATATTGTGAAAAACTATTTCAACCTTTTGATTCCTCTGTAACCAAATAAAAAAGTGAGGTTGTGTTTCAATAATTCACATAAGAATGAGGTTGTGTTTCAATATTTTGCCTCCAGGGTCGGTCTTCGTGCACGCGACCTATTAGATTTTATTCCAATGAACTTTTATTCTGGCCAAATGCAAGGATTATAAACCAAATGCGCCATCATGGAAGCAAAGGCCAATAAAATTGGAAGATGATGTATTATACAGGGTGTCCCTAAAAGGCCTGTACAAAACTTTAGCACCTATTCCTGAGGTCAAAATAAGCCAATTTGAATCAACTAAGAACTTACCCGTTACTAGGGTCCCTTGATGGAAATTGACGTAAAAGCACCGTGAAAGTCACCCTACCCGTTACTAAAAAATAAAAATTGACAAGTACACTGTGAGAAAGTATTTTGAAGAATACATATTTGCACTGCCAATTCACTGACCATTCTGACCAAATTACATTCACGAAGATAACAGCAAACATCATTTATTCAAAATAATTTAAATATTCCAGTGCTGCTTCCAACACTAAAAATCAAAATATCTGGAAATCGGCTCACTTTAGCGGATTTTTACAGGGGTATCTTTTCATGCTTAGATCATCATTTTCTCAACGAATAAAGTGTGAAACTATACTGAGAAAAAAGATACATGGCCATTCTAAACCATGATGTGGTCCATCTGTAAGGTCAATATTGGTATAATAAGCACCTTCTAATAGTCACACAGTGGAAAGGTGTCCGTATTATGGTGTTTCCCATCCCAAAAACTACTGGATATTAATTTTTCAAGTAATATTTTAAAAAATGTTCATAAATTATGAGAAATTTGATTTTTATTCTTCAAATTTACCACCCTGTTGTATCTCGGCAATGGAGCGATTTCGATGTGCAGAGATTGTGTACAGACCTTTCAGAGACACCCTGTATTTTAGGTCAATTCCAAATATTCCAATTCACAGAATTTGCAGTTTTCATTTTGCAATTTGAAGTGTTTTATAGATCCAAATTGAATGAATTCATTCTGTGGTTTTAATCTCAATTTGAATGTTTTCAATTCCAAGTGATGTTGAAATTTGAAATGGCCTAATCATAGATCACAATCACACTAAATCATTCTAAACGACTAGATATGCCCATTCTAGTGATCCTCATGGCACTGACAGGTTTAAAAACTTGAAACCACTTTAGTGGAGTTTTTCCTGAGTTTTCCATAAATTAATCCACAAATGCTCTCAGGCAAATAATAAATTCAAATCAACTATCTGAATTAAATAAATTGGGTATTTATTTGATAATGGGTTGAATTATATACTTATTAGGTTTGAATAAAAAATACAAATGAATAAAAACAAACAATTTGGTCCTGGCTACAATAATAGGAATGAACAATACTATTGCAAATATGTTGATCATGCTTCTCTAAAAATTTTGTAATCATCATGTTGAAATGCATTTCAATATCAAATAATTCTGTGCACTAAATGTTGATTTGAAAGGAATGAAAATATAGTATATTATCAATTCCAACTTATTAGTAATATACATAGAATGTATGGTTAATATAAAAATTTCAAATGCATTGTTATTCACCCTTCCCCACTAGACTTTAAAGTCTTAATTACATGTTTTACCAGACATTTTTGAATGAGAGGTACCAAATCTGAACAGGCTTTTTGAAGTAATTCAACAGTTTGATTCAGTTTTTCTAAAGAAATCATCCCAGACTGGTAAAACTGTGATATCTGGTTGTGGTTATTCAAAATAGAAATAACCACAATACCATGATCACTATTCTTGGTGTCATCTAAGATAGGCCCAGAACAAAGTGATTGCTCCAAGACATTTGGGTCCAGAAGTATCATGTCTTTTTGAATTCCTAATGTTACAGATGTTATGATGTCATACATAGGAACACCAGCATGAGATAGTGCTATACCAGCTGCAGTTATTGCTGCACTAAGACAGGATCCATCATTATGGAGTACTAGAGCATAAATATCAACTTGAAAATTTGGAAACTCATGTCTACACACTGTTGATTCTAAAGCTTGCTTCATGATGGCACTGTATTGGTTTTCTTCATTATCTTTCTGGTGTAAACGACGTTTTTTGCAACTGAATGGAGCAAACTTGAATTCACAGTAGATTTCTCCTTTGAGAGAGTAGTCTTGTCTGTTTGGTATTTCATGTGGATCAAACACAGAGACAATTACTTTGGAATTATCAAGTTCTATATAAGCTGATCCTTTCGCCTGGCTCACAATGCCGGTCTTTAGGACTGAAACAGTACCTTGTCTTAATCTGGATCATTACCTCTAGTGGTGTACTTACAAACTTTTCTGTGATCCAAGAATCCTCTAGCATCACTTCGTTTTCCTTCTTTCTGTAGTTCTTTGAATATCTGATTCCATGATGGTGTACTTTGTTTCGCAAATAAACTGTAAGGCAACGTTTCATCGGGTCCATTTATCCTCTTATGATCCAACGGCATCTTAGGATTCCGAATGGATTATGGGGGTTATAATCTTCTATCATATTTTTTAACAATGATAAACAGTCAGTCATGTACCGACTGTGCTGAGGTCGGACCGTAGCCTTTAGACGTTAGACGTGACTCGTGACTTTGGTCACCAGTTGAGTCACTCGCCTGAATGTGCCGATCTCCCTACCCCTTGCCTCTCGACCCGCTCAGAGAGCCGGGGCCATCATTCGGTTCCCTGGCGTATACATAGTGGCTCTCGCTTTTGATACGTACGGTTGTCCGCTATTTTTATTGGGTGCGTCAGAAAAGTGTTACATTTGATTACGGCGATAATGCCTATCGACATTTTGAATTTAAACACTCTCTCTAACTTTGGAGCCTTTATGGGAACCGAAAAACAAATCTCTTTTTTGAAAGAAATGAATGATTCATCCAAAGATTTACGTGTAGAAAATATAGATGGCGAAATGTAACCAAACAGTTGAAATTCATTATCGGTTGACGATTGACTATCAATTCAATTTTCATTTTTTTCAACAAATTATATGCCAAAGGATATAGATACATGTTCACTCGAAATCTCAACCAAGATTGTTTGGAAAATATTTTCGGACAAATTAGGAACTGTTGTGGAAATGTTGAGAATCCAACTCCCATACAATTCTGTCGTTCGTTCAAGAAAATGTTTGCTTTGAAATATTTTGATCAAACGGACGGTGCAAATTGAACGGGAGATATTAATGAAGTCTTATTGAATATCGCTTCAAACAACATCGTTGAAAATGTAAATCAAAATCTGATAGCTAAACCTACATACACTCCACTTAGAGTCTATACAACCGATTATCGAAATCTCCAAAGTCTATGCATGTAACTGGCTATTTCTTGAGGAAATGTCTTTTACAACATTCATGTGGAATTTGGAGCAATTTTCATAAACTCAATAATTTAAGTGACAGGGAAACCGTTTTTTGCAACCCCCCATCTCATAGTAACACAACATCGGGAGGTTTAGTTGTGCCCTTTAGAAATATCGTCGAATTTGTTGAAGCATTGGAGAATATTTTTATTCGTGAATTTGAGGAACTGGTTCTTCAAGGAAATATTGAAAGCACACTGGAAAAACACTTCGCAAAAATAACTTTCAGTCACCCGTGTGAAAACATTTCCTTTAGACTATTTAGTTCATTGATTTATATTGCAGAGTCCGAATCCATTTCACATTGAAATTTGCTAATCGAAGCATAAAAACCGGAAGAGTATCCAAAGTGAATACAATACTCTCAATACTGAAGCATTTGTAATTATTCCTTATAGAATATGTAGTCAATTATCAGTAGTAATATCCCTGGGACATTGATAATAGACGAGATAATTTTATGACCATCGAAAGCTCGTTTCTTGGTAACAGCCCGAAGCGAAGGCTGAGGGCTGTTATCAAGCAACGAGCTTGATAAATTTTTCATAAAATTATGAGGCATTTGTCAATGCCCGAGGGATATTCGGCAGAAAATGTTTTGAAGTAGCCGAAGTCAACCGTGTTGTCATAGTGATTGATAATTACACTGAATGTAGTTATCATGATGAAGTTGGTTTGATTAGTTGTGTTCAATTATATGACCAAAAATTCACTGATTACATTGGATTTCTACTCCAGCAGAACATTTTGATTGGGATTTCTTTTGATATACCCATAAGTATTCAAGTTTCTTGTTTTGGTATAATACTCAATTATTATTGTCGATTTTTGTAGAAATTTTCGAATAAACCTTAATTCTTAATTTATTTTTGATTCATTCGTACCTTTTCTATGCCCAACCACGCCTATCACATGAATATTTCGACCACAGTCAACTTTCGAATCATCACAGGTACATATGCATCGCGCGAAATAATCTTTCATACCCCCGTATCTACAGTGAATTCCTGGAATCGGTGCCGCAAGCAACCGCAAGGAACACGTGCAGCGGCCCCTTCAGATCTCTGAACATGAAACGGCCGACGACGAGTGAGTTAACTGATACCCATTCCTTAAACTGTGCTTTGGTCACCAGTTGAGTCACTCGCCTGAATGTGCCGATCTCCCTACCCCTTGCCTCTCGACCCGCTCAGAGAGCCGGGGCCATCATTCGGTTCCCTGGCGTATACATAGTGGCTCTCGCTTTTGATACCACAACTCTGCTAATGTCTATATGGTTGCGATATTAGTAATATTCTTTCGTTCTGAACCATCTAACTGAACTGATCAAAGTGAAACTGAACAAGATGAAACTGAACTTTTGTATCATCGATCTAGCTGTCGTGATTAAGACGAAAGAAGAGGTTCGGATGGATTACTAATTACAAGAATCTTGTTTGTCGGTTTGTCGCTAGTGTCACATACATCAAACAATAAGGTTATTATATTGTTATTAATAATAATTACACATTTAGAAATATATGTGAAGGATTGAATATGATGGAATTTGTTTTGGTGAGTATACCTTTTGATGATTGCTTCCCGTAGCAATAATTTGAGCCAGAATTTGAAGTACTTTTTTGGCCAAATGTGGCATCAGGTATGATGAATTTGAGCTCACAGAGAATATTAATTTCTATAGGAAAATATCATGAAAACCAGTTCAATAAAAGTGGAAGATCTGAGTAGCAGTAGTAGTGATAGCAGTGACTTGGACAGTGATACTGATATAATGAGAATGAAGAGGGCAAGGATAGAAAATTATTTTGAAAATACTGTAAAACAGTATTCTGATGAAGACTTCAAAAGACATTTCAGAATGACTAGAAATTCTGTTGAAAAACTTTGTGGTAAGGTTTGACAATAATATTGTCATAGGCAGTATACTTACAAATATAATGAAAACTGTTTGACCAATTTTTTCTATGTATATTAAGAATGTATAGGTAGGCATTTAACTTATTTATATCACTTTATCAAAAAATTCTCGGTTAAACCTTCAGGTTTGATCAAAAGGGTTTACAGAAACTTTGTAGTTTGGTAACTTTCAACATTTCAGATTAGAATTCATCCAGAGATGAGCCTTCCACCTGGTTGGTGATGCCATACTCACTGATTCCTTGACATCATTGGAACACAGTTGAAAAGTCGCCGACTTTTCACTTCTCCCTATAGATACCCACTTTTCCAGGAAAAATGTTCTGCAGAAACGTATTTGACAAGCTCATTCAGCACATTCTTTTGTCGTCAACCTTGAGATGCAGAACAACTCCTCACCAGAACCCATTTGTCTATAGAATGGCAAAGTTTTGGAATTCTTTGCCAAGGGGAGTATTTCCGAGAATGTATAATCTTCCAATGTAAAAAAATCCAATGCCTACTTTCTCTCCTGATCCTCCCTAGGTACACATGTTCCTTGATCTATTCCTTCAACAAAATAGAGATTCCCTTTTTGCCTTCCAATGAAAAAAAAGTATCAACCAATTATTTAATTTTGTACTCTTGATGAATATCATTTTCAGATCTTATAGAAATCCAAAAGAAGTATATTGGAGGTTGGCCGGAAATTTCAAAAGCAAAAATGGTTCACATATGATGTTGTGGTATTTAGCCAATACGAATACCTTCAGAGAAGTAGCAGATCGCTTCAATGTTTCAGAAAGTGCATGTCATGGATGCCTAAAATTGTGTATCATGGCTCTTAAGGAAACTCATAGCAGATTCATAAAATTTCCTGATGTTAATGAATTTCCAAATTTATCACAAAGATTTCAAGAAAAAAAAAGGATTCCTTTGGTAGTTGGAGCAATAGATGGCTGCCACATAAAAATTGATAAACCAAAACAGAATCAAGAAGATTATGTGAACAGAAAAGCCATTGTGAATCACCAAAAGATTTTCACAGATATTTATGTTGGAGAGCCTGGTAGCATGCATGATGCACGACTATTGAGAAAATCTCCAATATATGAAAAAATTCAAGATGAAAATGCTCTATACCCTTATTATATAATTGGGGATAGTGCCTATCCAGCATCATTGAATTGGATTGTAACACCTTACAAAGACAATGGACATTTATCTGATAATCAGAAAGAATTCAATCGACGCTTATCAGGAACAAGAGTTATAGTGGAACATAGTTTTGGATTGCTTAAAGGTAGATTTCGTAGGTTATATGGTTTCCACAATAAAGATCTTGAGTTTATTGTGAATTGTCTGGTGGGAGCCATTATTTTACATAATCTTTGCATTATTTGGGATGATTTGGGTGAAGAGTTTATAGTAGAAAATGATGGAAATGTTCAAGTAGAATATGAATATAATGAAGACGGCATTCCAAGAATAACTAGGCGTGATGAGGTCTTTCACATGTTATATTAATATATCCATACCTAATAAATATATTTGATTCTGAAAATGTGTTTTAATTCTAATCCAGTAACTTAACATCATTCGAGAACTATTAATATTTCTATTTGATATACTGAGCTCAGTTCATTAATTCAACAAAATAAAAAACTTCCTGTTATTATGCTTTCTTGAGGTAGTCTTCGAGAATTGCAACTTTTTTTTCTTCTATGGCAACCAACTTCTTTTGCAATTCGAACTTTTCTGCTTTTAAGACATCTTTTTTTTCTGCGTCAACTTTCTTTTTCTTATAATAATCAATTTTGAGATTAATTAATTCATTCACTTTATTTCGCCTTTCTTTAAATGATTTTATTGGTGGAACTACTGCTTCAACTGTTTGGTGTGAAATCTGAACAGTACTGTTATCACCAACATCATTATTGGATTCTTCAGAAATTTCAGAATTCCGTGATGTGGAACTGAATGTATGGGTACAATTCATAACTGGTCTCTCACTTAATATTCCATCTAGTCTGTCGAAATATAAGAATTTAACGGTTCCTCGTCCAGTCTTTTTTTTTGTATCTTTAATAGACTTATATGTTCTCAAGAGATTTTTCCATTTGACCTCACACCTACCCGCATCATGAGAAATCCCAGTTTCTTTCAATGCAGTAGAAATTTTCTCCCAGACTTTCTTTCGTCTTTTTGCATTTTTGAAATCTTCAAGATGATCTTCATAAGCTGATATG